GGGCGACGGACAGTGCTGGACTCTGTCCTGGCAAGCACATACAAGAATCAGGTCTGGGATCACCTCAGACAGTTTCTTTGGCAATCCCTCCAACTGAACTGCTGATCTTAGAATGCCAACCATGAAGATTCTATGTCAGCCAGTGGATGCTGAATAGATTTCATCGTGCTTGGAGCAGTGACATTGGCAGCAATTCAGAACTACTGAACTATCAAAACTGCTTGAGCAGGACCCTCGGAGCATGCCCACATTGGGATCGGGCATGGTTGGGAGGCTGGGTGGGGCTTCTCCCTTTGTTTCTGCATTGACCCCAGAAACAGGATGACAAAAAGATGATATTGGTGTGGAAACAAGATTTTACCCACTTTCCTTTTGCCCTTGACCCTTTGTACCCTAATCAACTAAGTAAGATTATAAAAATTACAAAAATAATAATAATAAAAATGGGGAAAAAATGGGTACAATTGGCAGAGCTGAGCATATGCAAAGCTAGGAGCCAAGAACTTCTTTCAGGTCTCTCACATGTGTGCTGGGGCCCAGGACTTGAACCCATCAAGTGGAAGAGCCAGGACACAAAGCATACCCATGAGGAATGCTGGCAATGCAGGTGGAAGCTCACGTGCCATGCCACCAGAGCAGGCGCCACATACTGACAAGCTTTAGAATGAACAGAGGGAGATTATGGACACACTTCCATGTTCTCTTCTTCTTTCCACGTGATGTCCTCTGCTGGAGCTAAACTTTGTGAGGTTAAAGTATATGCGGTTCTTGATTACTGCTTTCCATATTTATATTTCATCACTTTTACACCAGAAATGCCCAATTTTAGTTTCTCTCAATTTTGAACATTTTTTATAAAGAACATTGCACTGGATATGAAATGGCATGTCGTTATGGTTGCCATTTGCATCCACCTGGGGATAAGTAATGTTGAAAATCATCTTGTGTTCATTTGTGATTTGATTTTTTATGCATTGTAGAAATGTCTATAGTTCTTTGTCCATTTGGAATCCATTTCTTATTACTTGTGTTGTAGAATTTTGTTACATCCTATATATTCCTAACATATGATCTCATATGCAAAATGATTTCCATACTTTTACACATCATATTGCTTTCTTTTGAAGTTTTACTCTATACAATTTTTAAATTTTAGTTTTTCTCAATGTTTCCTTTTGTTGCCCATGTTGCAGTTTTTGTCATTATTTAGTCTTTTTTTTTTTTTTATTAATTACATTGCATTATGTGACATAGTTTTATAGGCACTGGGATTCCCCCCTCCCCTCCCCAAACATTGTAAATTGACAATCATATTTTGTATTGTAACATACAAGCACGATATATTTTGAAATTGATAAGCAGGTTAAATTTGGGATGTTCATTAGCTGTACTATCTTTTGAATCTGATGACTTTTTCAGTTTCCATCTCTGCTAAAATCTGTTTTCTAAGCAAGTCACTCAAACTAGCACACATGGAATGTGCTTTAGATTATATCACAAATGTGGGAATAGAAGAGAATCACAAGTCTATTTTGTTATGGTATTATTTGTACAACATATTTTCTAATTTTTCTTGTGATTTTTTTCTCACAAGAGTATTTAAAATATTAATCATTTATATTAAATTCTTAATTTCTTTTAAAAAATGATTTCTGGGGCCTGGCACAATAGCCTAGTAGCTAGCTATAGTCCTAGCCTTGAATGCGCCAGGATCCCATATGGGCACCAATTCTAATCCTGGAAGCCCCACTTCCCATCCAGCTCCCTGCTTGTGGCCTGGGAAAGCAGTCGAGGACGGCGCAAAGCCTTGGGACCCTGCACTCGTGTGGGAGACCCAGAAGAGGATTTGGGCTCCTGACTTCAGATTTGCTCAGCTCCAGCTGTTGCCCATGGATGGGAGATTTTCCTCTTCCGTCCAGTAAAAAATTAATCTTAAAAAAATGATTTATGACAGTGTGAAGTGATCAGGGAGACTACCTAGTGATTTTAATCTTTTGTTGTTGTTGTTTAACATTTTCAAACATTTATTTATTTATTTTAAAGTTTTATTTTTATTGCAAAGTCAAATATACACAGAGGAAGACAGAGAGCAAGATCCTCTGTCTGATGATTTACTCCCCCAAGTGACCGCAACAGCCAGTGCTGCACTGAGCTGAAGCCAGGAGCAAGGAGCCTCCTCTGTATCTCCAACGTGGGTGCAGGGTCCCAAGGCTTTGGGCCATCCTCAACTGCTTTCCCAGGCCACCAGCAGGGAGCTGGATAGGAAGTGGGGCTCCTGTGATTAGAACTGGTGTCAATATGGGATCCTGGTGCTTTCAGGGTGAGGACTTTAGCTGCGAGGCCATCGCATTGGGTAGAAAGCATCCTTCCGGGCCCAGTGTGGTGGCCTAGTGGCTAAAGTCCTCACCTTGCGTGTGCCAGGATCCCATATGGGTGCTTGTCCTGACCCTGACTGTTCCACTTCTCATCCAGTTTCCTGATTGTAGCCTGGGAAAGCACTCAAGAATGGCCCAAAACCTTGGAACCCAACACCCATGTGGGAAACCTGGAAGAAGCTCCTGGTTCCTGGCTTCAGATTAGTTTTGGCTATTGCAGCTGCTTGGGGAGTGAACCAGAGGACAGAAGTGCTTTCTCTGTGTATCTGCATCTCTGTGTATATCTACTTTTCCATAAGAGCAAATAAATCTTAAGAAAAGAAAAGAAAAAGAAAGAAAGAAAAGTGCCCTTCCAACCCCTGGTTCACTCCCCTGATAGCTAGAATGGCTGCGGCTAGGCCAGGCTAAATGCAGGCATCAGAAGTTTATACAGGTCTCCCATATGGGTAGCAGAGGTCAAGCACTTGGGCCATTCTCTGTTGCTTTTCCCAGCCTTTAGCATGCAGCTGGTACCACATGGAGCAGTTGGACATGAACCAATGCCCATATTAGATGCTTGTAATGCCAGGAGTGGATTTTCTCATTATTCTAACATGCCAGCCCAATTTAACTTTTTGCTGCAATGTCAAGAGCTGAGCTGATCCAAAGCTAGCAGTCAGGAGCTTCCTCTAGATTTCCCACATGAATGCAGTGTTTCAAAGACTTCAACAATCCTCTGCTGCTTTCCCAGACCATAAGCAGTGAGCTGGATAAGAAGTGGAGCAGTCAAGATATGAACTGCCTACTGGCATGTTAGCACCATATTTGGAACATTATCGTGTTGTCATTGTTCTACAGTGGTGTATACATGTTGTCTTATGTCTATATACTTTTTATTTTTATTTTTTAAGATTTTATTGGAAAGATATACAGAGAGGAGGAGAGACAGAGAGAAAGATCTTCCTTCCGATGGTTCACTCCCCAAGCGGCTGCAATAGCTAGAGCTGAGCCAATCCGAAGCCAGGAACCAGGAGCTTCTTCAGGGTCTCTAGGCGGACACAGGGGTCCCAAGGCTTTGGGCCGTCCTCGACTGCTTTCCCAGGCCACAAGCTGGGAGCTGGATGGCAAGCGGGGCTGCTGGGATTAGAACTGGCACCCATATGGGATCTTGCACATGCAAGGTGAGGACTTTAACCAGTATGCTATCGCTACGGGCCCTTTTATGTTTATAATTGACAGATTCTTTTTTTTTTTTTTTTCATCAGAAGACTTTTCACTTTTTAAAATTGTTTATTTGTGTGTACTTTGATGTGGTTTGAGGGTTTGTTATTAGATACATCAACAGTGATACTTATGTCATTCAGATGTATAATCTGTTATGAATTTTCTCTTTATCTGGCATATACAAATATATGTGTGTATGTGTGTGTGTAGTAGAAAGTGGACAAATTTTACATGTAGCAAATAATTTAGTCCAGTGATACTTCCTGCTTCTACTTTGTCTCCTGCCTGTATTTGCTACCCTACCTCCTTCTTAGCTGCTGTAGTTTTTTGTAATAGCATACTTTAACTTCATTTCAGAATATAAGGCTTAATATTCCAATTGATAGAGATTGACACATGGAAGCTAGAAGATAATAAGAACAAAGGACAAACCCTACTTTTCCTCAAGAGTCTAAACAAAGGCCGTGCACAATAATCCAATCCCAAAATGTTACTCCCACCCCTACATGTTTTTTATTTTTTGTATTAGTGTATCAGTTACTTCCCTATTTGTTGCAGAGTTTATTCTTCACTTGCAACTATAGTATTGAATTCAACTTTTTATAATTAGCATTTGTAAAATGTACGATTTGTTTAGTTACTTTGAGGCAGAGAAAGAGCATTTAAAGTGCTAACCAAAAAATGTTTTATGAATATATACAGAAGCAACTTGATGGGTTAAAAGTAACCATTTGCCAACCAATTGGCAGCTTATGACTGAGGCAACTACTTGCGACAAGAAGATATTATTTTTGAATCAAACTAGTTTGTCCCCCAAATAAGTTTGTAGTTCATTTTCTAATGTTAAAGTAGTTTAATTTGAAAGCTATTGCATGAAAGATAAACAGGAGAAAGCAGAAATGAATGGTCAGTGCATTCTAAAAAGAAAATAAACACTTATAAGATATACATTTCATTTTAATTAAGTGTGGAAATATTTATATAAGTTCAAGAAAACTGAATTGCATTAATATTAATCAGATTTTACAAATTCCTTTGGTATAGTCAAAGTCTTAGTTATTAAATAATTCTTTTATTATTATGATCATAAAAAAATAATTCTGATCAGTATGAAGCATGTCTCTTCCTCATCTCATCTAGCATGTTGTTTAGGTCTTGTGTTTATACTTGTGTCTGCTTATTATACAGCAAACTCATTTGGAGAAAAAGGTCAGTTATGGAATAATAAGGTTAAGTCTATTGTAGTTCTTGCGTTGGAAAATGGATACATCACCAAGATACTTTCAGTTTGATTTTTGCGCTGTGTTGCCATATATAGTGCAAAGTAAGCTGCCTCTCTAGAAGATGTGAAATAAATAGACACAGAAGGATGTGCCCCATCTGTTTAGTGATCCAGAGCTGAGGAGAAATGTTCTGTTGTAGGTGTTGGTGTCGTTTGAAGATCTGGTTATTGAATTTACCCAGGAGGAATGGAAGATCATGGACACTGCTCAGAGGACCCTGTACAGGGATGTGATGCTTGAGACCTATGGCAATCTGCTTTCCTTGGGTGAGTGAAATTCTGCCATGCACAAGCAGAATACTTTCTTAGTTGACAAAAGAAAGAACAGTTTCTACAATCTAGTGCTTGAAAGAAAGTGTTTGAGGGTGTAGAGAATGTCTGTACACTGTAGAAATGATTCATATCAGCCTTTCTGTGGCACAGATCCTGGGACCAAGATTTTGTCCTTTAAGTCCCCAAGTTATTGATTTCACAATGTCTAAAATTATTTCCCATTACTAGGATACTACATTTGCAAGCCTGATGTGACTTTGGGACAAGGAGCAATGCCATGGACAGTGGAAAAACCTGTCAATGAGCAAGATTTAGGTAAGTCAGCTCATGCTGGGCAGAAAAGCTGATATATTTTAGATCTTATACCTAAGAACAGCTAAATGCCATGCATCAGACACAGGCATTCTACAGTCCCCATTAAAGGGTATATACATAATTGGGAATATAGCCTTACAGAGAGGAGAGACAGCAAGAACTTCCATCCGCTGGTTCACTCCCCAAGTAGCCACAATGGTTGGAACTTACTTGATCCAAAACCAGGAGCCAGAAACTTTTTCAGCCTCTCCCACACGGGTGCCAAGTCCCAGGGACTTGGCCACCTTCCATTGCTGTCTAGGCAATGAGCAGCAAGCTGGTTGGGAAGTGGAGTGGCCAGGATATGAACTAGCATCAATAAGGGATCCAGGTGCATAGAAGGTAAGAATTTAGCCACTAGGTTATCACACCAGGCCCCAAAGTTATTCTTAAAATGCTTTCAGCAGTTAGAATTAGGCCAATGTGAAATTTAAAAATGGATCAACATATTGAGCTTTGATGCATGAACCATTACCTGACTCCCAAGATCTGTCAGTTGGAAGTTATACTGGAAGGGCAGTAGAGCAAACTCCAAGTGTAAGGATATACAAAGCATCTTAGGCATTGATTTCACTTGCTGTACCCATTCATCTGCCCTGTTCCATCCTTTCTCCATATAAATACAAAATTATAAGTAATTAAAATATTGAATAGTCAATATTTATTATACTAACATAATAATGAAAAAATTGTGATGTTCAGAAGTGAACAATTTTGTTTATCTGTTAAAATCTGGTCCATCTAGAGAATCAAAAAACTTCATTGGCTCTACATGAACATTTCAGAAGAAATACTTAGATGTTATTGATGGATATACATTTTTTTTATTCTCGTTTTTTAAATTCTCAGATGCCCATAGAAAGAGTGAACTAGTTGGAAATCAGAAGAGTCAAGAAATAAACTTAAGGAAAGTTGTAATCACCATGTCAAGTTTAAATGTACAGAAGAGAGTTCACACAGATGTGAAACTTTATGAATGTAAAGACTGTGGGAAAGCTTTTGGTGACACGTTATTTTTCAGTATGTATCAGGGAAATCACACAGGAATGAGACCATATGAGTGTACAAAGTGTGCAAAAGTTTTTTGTAATCACTCAGACCTAATCACACATCAAAGAATTCACACAGGGGAGAAACCTTATGAATGTAAAGAGTGTGTAATAGCATTTTGCCAGCCATCACACCTAAGCAAACATCAGATAATTCACAGAGAGAAGAAATCTCATGAATGTGTAGAGTGTGGAAAAGTCTTCGGTTATAAATCAGTTCTCAATGCACATCAGAGAATTCACACAGGGGAGAAACCTTTTAATTGTAAAGAATGTGGAAAAGCATTTTCGCAGCAATCAACACTAATCAAACATCTGAGAATTCACACAGGGGAGAATGCCTATGAATGCAAAGAGTGTGGGAAAGCATTTTCGCAGCAATCAACACTAATCAAACATCTGAGAATTCACACAGGGGAGAAAGCCTATGAATGCAAAGAGTGTGGGAAAGCCTTTTCTGTTAAATGGTCTCTCATTAAGCATCAGAGAATTCACGGTGAGGAGATACCTTTTAAATGTAAAGATTGTGGAAAACCCTTTCCTACTAATTCATCTCTCGTTACACATCAGAGAATTCACACAGGAGAGAAACCTTTTAAATGTACAGAATGTGGGAAAGCATTTTGCCAGCAGTCAAACCTAACTAAACATCAGAGAATTCACACAAGGGAGAAATGCCATGTATGTAAAGAGTGTGGAAAAGTCTTTTCTGATAAGTCATACTTTGTTACACATCAGAGAATTCACACAGGGGAGAAACCATTTAAATGTACGGAGTGTGGGAACGCCTTTTATAGAAAATCGGCTCTCATTAAACATCAGAAAATTCACACAGGGGAGAAACCTTTTAAATGTGAAGAATGTGGAAAGGCCTATTATCATAGATCATCTCTCGTCATACATCAGAGAACCCACACAAAGGAAAAACCTTTCGAGTGTAACAAGTGCAGAAAAGCATTCTCCTATCCGTTACTACTAAGGAAACATCTGATGATTCACACAGGGAAGAGATCGCATGGATGTGAGAAATGCGGAAAATCCTTTTATGGCAAGTCATCTCTCATTAAACATCAGAGAATTCATACAGGGAAAAAATATGAATGTGAAGAGTGTGGAAAAGCCTTTTATGATAAGTTGGATCTCATAAGACATCAGGGAATTCACACAGGGAATAAGCCTTTTAAATGTAAACAGTGTGGAAAAGGTGTTTGTTATAAGTCATCTCTCATTGCACATCAGAGAATTCACACAGGGGAGAAACCTTTCAAATGTAAAGAGTGTGGAAAAGCATTTTCGCACCAATCTACACTAAAGAAACATTTGAGAATTCACACAAGTAAGTCCTTTCAATGTAAAGATTGTGGAAAAGCATTTTCGCACCAATCAACACTAACTAAACATCTGATAATTCACACAGGTAAGAAGTCCTTTCAATGTAAAGAGTGTGGAAAAGCCTTTTATGATAATTTGTATCTTGTTAAGCATCAGAGAATTCACACAGGTGAGAAGGTTTTTAAATGTAAACAGTGTGGAAATGTCTTTCCTACAAAGTCATCTCTCTTTGCACATCAGAGAATTCACCCAGGTGAGAAGGTTTTTAAATGTAAACAGTGTGGAAATGCCTTTCCTACTAAGTCATCTCTCTTTGCACATCAGAGAATTCACACAGGGGAGAAACCTTTTCAATGTAAAGAGTGTGGAAAATCCTTTTATAGTAACTCATGTCTCATTACACACCAGAGAATTCACACAGGGGAGAAACCTTTTCAATGTAAAGAGTGTGGAAAATCCTTTTATAGTAACTCATGTCTCATTACACACCAGAGAATTCACACAGGGGAGAAACCTTTTCAATGTAAAGAGTGTGGAAAATCCTTTTATAGTAACTCATGTCTCATTACACACCAGAGAATTCACACAGGGGAGAAACCTTTTCAATGTAAAGAGTGTGGAAAATCCTTTTATAGTAACTCATGTCTCATTACACACCAGAAAATTCACACAGGGGAGAGACCTTTTAAATGTACAGAGTGTGGAAGAGCATTTTGCCAGCAGTCAGCACTAACCAAACATCTGAAGATTCACACAGGAGAGAAACAATTTAAATGTATGGAGTGTGGAAAGGAATTTTATGATAAGTCATATCTCACTGCACATCTGAGAATTCACACAGGAGAGAAACCTTTTAAATGTAAAGACTGCGGGAAAGCCTTTTGTAGAAAAGCGTCTCTCACTAGACATCACAGGATTCACACAGGGGAGAAACCTTTTAAATGTGAAGAATGTGGAAAAACCTTTCGTGATAAGTCATGTCTCAATAGACATCAGGCAATTCACACAGGGATGAGACCATATGAGTGTACAAAATGTGGAAAAACTTTTTGCCACCTTGCATACGTAATCGCACATGAGAGGATTCACACAGGAGAAAGACCTTATGAATGTAAAGAGTGTGGGGCAGCATTTGGCCAGGTATCACACCTAAGCAGACATCAGAGAATTCACAGCGGTAAGAAATCTCATGAATGTCAACAGTGTGGAAAAGCCTTTTATGATAACTCATCTCTCATTAGGCATCAAAAAATTCACATGGTAGAAACCTTGTAAATGTAAAGAATGTGGAAAAATCTTTATATGTCATCTCTTCTGGAACATCATAATTCACACAGGGGAAGAACTTGTAAAGAGTGTTAATCCTTTTTTGATAAGCCATATTTCATTAGACATGAGAGAATTCACACAAGGGAGAAGCTTTATAAATGCAGAGTGTAGAAAAGTATTTTACCAGCAGCCAAACATAAGCAAATATCTGACAATTCACACAATACAGAAATCCCAAGTATATAAAGTATGTGGAAAAGCGCCTTATTATAACTCATTTCATTAAACATCAGATAATTGGTGTCTGACATTTTTCTGAGAAGGCAGGTGTAAATAACATATCCTTGTACCTGGATTCCTGTCCCCAAAAGAGAGGCACTGGCTGTGGTGGCATATGCTGGCCCTGGATGCACAGAACGGTCAGAGTACTCTAGTATTCAAATAAGCTTCCCTGATGTGCTTCAGGTTGCCTACAGTACTATTGCTGCCACGTTGTTCTTAACAAGAACATGTTGCCTTCCCACCACAGTGTCTCACTCAGATGTATGGAGTTAGCTTGAGGCAACAAAACCTGAGGGATGTGCACATGAAAGCTTGTTTGCAGATAACTGGATGCTGCTATCAGGGGAAGCATCAGCTCTGACTGCCACCTCCCCTAAGGTAACATAGGGAGCATATCTCAGAAACAAGAATTGTCTGGCAGCAGATTCCCAAGATGTAGTAATGGCCACTGGAGTTTGTGAAGCAGCTACAGCAACAGTTCAGACTTGAAAAGATTTCATGCACGATGATCACCAACTGGGATGTGCTACCTTCTGGATACAATCCTGTTCCTGAAGCAGTGGCTTGATTGCTTAACTCTCACCCTTCAATTGCCAGGATCCCACATAGGGGCTAGTCTGCCCCAGCTCTTACATTTGTAATGCAGTTCGCTATTCAAGGCCTGGAAAAGCAGCAGAGGATGGCCCTCAGCCTTGGATCTTTGCACCCATAAGGGAGACTCAATAGAGGTTCCTGGCTTCTGACTTCATTGTAGCTCAGCTCTGGTGGTAGTGAATCAAAAATAGGATCTGTGTGTGTGTGTGTGTGTTCTAACTTTGCCTTTGTAATAAAAATGAAAGTAGAAAAATCTGGACAAAAAATAATGTATGGTTTATGGGAATATCTTTCCTATTTGTGTTAAATCATAATTGCTTACTTACTGTAACATTGTTTGAAAAATCAGATCATTTGGAAAATGTCTCATGTAAACTGATCAGAATTTGCATCGTTTCATGTGAGTATTACTCTTCATAAATTGGTGTTTACCTTTTAGGAAAATGAGTGGTAGATATCATGCACCCTCATTCAAAAACTATTGACTCGTTTTTTCGTAAATGTAGTCATGAAGATATAATTATGTTCCTTTCCTGTTTCCCACTTTCCCTCTAATTGTCCCATGTTTTTCCCCCCTATGTTTGCTTTTAGACCTTTTTATAATATGTTATTTACATGAAGTTTAACAAGTTTACGTCTCCGATATGTTGTACAACAGCCTAGTTGCTAAATCCTTGGTAGGGCAGGTTTGAAAGAGGAATAGTCTTTTAACTTCTTGACTGTGGAAGAATTTTATTTCATTTTCAAAGGCAAAAGAAAGCTTTGCTGGGTACATTATCCTGGGCTGATGATTTTTTTCTTTTAGAATCTGGAATATGTCACTGCATTCTCTTCTGGCCTGTAGAGTTTCCTGTGAGAGATCTGCTGTGAGTTTAACTGGAAAACCTTTATGTCATTTGATTTGTTTCACATACAAATTTAAGGATCTTTTTCTTATGTTTGACTGAAGAGAGCTTGATTATCAGGTGTCTTCGTGAAGATCAATTTTGGTCAAGACTGTTGGGAATTCTGTGCCCCTCCTGGATGTTGTTTCCCAATTCTTTCTCTAGGTTAGGGAAATTTTCCTCACTAAATATATTTATAAACTCAGCTATTCTTTCTGCACCTTCTGGGACTCCCATAACTGTTATATTTGGCCTTCTAATAGTGTCTTTCAATTCTTGAATACTTTTTTGGGGGGAGGGGGTGCTGATCTAGCTCTGCTTCCAGCTTTTTGTTTGTTTCCCCCGGTGACAGAAAATATCTTCTAATTTTGAGATTCTTCTGCCTCCTTCATTCTATTTTGGATACTCTCCACTGTACTTTTAATTTGCTCCACTGTATTCTTCATTTCTGATACATCTGCTTTCATTTGATTCATTTCCAATATGACATATCCCTTGTACGCCTGCTTTACGTGCTTCTCTTTGTTGATAACATCTTTTATAACAAGTGTTTTGAATTCTGTATGCCCCATTTTCTCAATGTCTTGGTTAAAAAAATGTCCTTGAGGTTGGTAAAGGCTTTTGCTCGTTTGCAGGGGAGTCTTCAGTAATATTCATTGTGCCTTTGTCTCTTCTTTTACTCTTGGTCATTGTACTTCTGGTTAGCAGATTCTTCTCCTTGGGATTGGTTTTTAAGCTGTCACCAACACATCTACAGTTCGATTTTACTTTTTGCATTTGGCAAATGGTTCTTTGTTTGCAGTCAGTTGTGCCACTCCCTCCAGTGAGTTCCAGGTCTGAGTTCTTATGTAAGGATTCTACCTTGGTCTCTGTAACCCAG